CCGAATGATATCCGGGTAAAGGAGTCACGCTAGTTCTAAGTTTTTAAAATGGTACAAGGGCATGAGATGTATTTAACCATTTGCGGAAAACTCTCTCCATAGCTCTAAACTTCTTGAATTAATTTATTCGATGTTTGTGGCCTTGTAGGTTTATCTATTGATGATTTTTTATATTACTCAATATTTGTTGGTTGCTTTAGTAAATATGTTTGGTTTTATCTTATGAGGAAAAAAATCAAAAGGTACCATTTTATTTTCCTAGTTCAAACTACTAGTCAAAACATTTTTCCAATGTCCTTTTATATATGTATACACAAACAATGGTTTAATCATATCGACTTACCTATTCTCTTAACATTTTCTTAATGTAGCTCCTATACTTTTTTTTTTATTAACTCCTCCCTATACTCTTCAATTTTTCTTAACGTGGCCCCTCCGATTGTTTTTTGATCAAGTTTTTGTTTGAAACTATCACCCGGCATTTAAAAATCTATGTGACATGCCAACTCGGATTAATATGCCATATGTTAAAATTAAAAAATTAGTTAAAAAATAAAAAAAAATTTCCACACTCCTGTACATTTTTTTTTGCACTATTTTTTTGCACATTCTTTATTTTCATAGACATTTCAAATAGCTTCTCCGCATTTTAAACCTTTTTTTCTCATACACATTTCATAAAAAAAAAAAACTTTCATCCATTCCTTATGCTATTTTCCTTGTATAATTGGTCAAGACATTTTAAACAAACACATTAGGACTAACTTTCCTCCCTTTGATAGTCTCGAACAACTCCATAGTTCCTTTTAACTTTGAAAGAAACCATTGTTTGTCATGCATATCATGAAATAAACAAGTTCCATACCAATCTTCCAAAACTCCATCTTCTCTCGCCCTAAGCCCTTTAATTAAATAGGCATCTTACTATGGATGGGAAAAAAAACTAATAAAAACACACAAAGACTAAAGAAAACCTATTGCAATTTCCATAAAGCCTCAATTCAATCATTCAATTTGTTTTAACTCTAAATGTTCCCTTTAAAGCTTGCACTTTATACCTTGAGAGATTAGATAAAAATGCAATAAAAGAAAAAAAAAGTGGGAAGAGGAGGAGTAACAAAGAAATCAAACACAACAAGAAGTTGTAAGTGAAGTTGGGCACTACCCCTATTAACAGAGGTACCAAATTTTGGTCTAGAAAGAATCTTGAGATACTTTACATGTCTTTGTTAAGAATATCAATTAACCAAATAACAAATTGATTGAATTAAGGCTATATGGACATAGAATGTTCAATCATCATAACTAACCTAACATCATATGCAATTTCATAATAAAAATAATCACCCAAGTCATGTCATGTCACATTTACTTATTACATTTCTACTATTTATGCATTAAATAATTAAGAACTTTGTTATTTATCTTAACATGTTTATATTTTTTCTATGATAGAAGTTGTTATGAAGTTAAGAAATGAATATATTCAAAAGTGATTATTTTATTTGATTCAAACTTGATGGTAATACTCATAGCATGTACTAATAAATTTTTACGAAGTTGTTACAAGTACATAATAATATTAATTTCTTTTCTTTCTCTTTTTGTAAGCCTTAACTTGTAGTAGAATCATTTTGAAATGACTTAATGTACCAGAAAATTATGAACTTTGTCCTTTTTAAGCATTGTAGCTCATCTTTTAATTTTGCATAGAAAGGTCACAAACTAATCTTCTAGTAACAATACTAGCATAGGTGAGCTTTTTTCACTTAAATTCTAACCACGAGTTGACATGGTGCATGATAGAGCATGACAACTTAGTTGAATGTGCGAAATAGGAGTCCACATATGATCTACATGGCCTATTAACTAAAAAAAAAATCTAATTAAAAGAAAACCCTAAACTCTCCCTAAACCTACAAGAATCTACCACTTTTCATCCCCCTCATAGTCCCTCCTCCATCGTTAGCTCTCACCTTGCATTCCTACAAATATATTCAAGCACTTATTATAATGGACTAATTCCTAAAAATTATTCACCTACGATGCCTTGCATTTTATATCCTTTACGAAAAAAGATTAGAAGAGGATAAGATAATAGAATGAGTGCTCGACTTTGAAAGTAATTGGCATTTCTATTTATGCGGGGTGTGTTACTAGGCGGACAAGAAATAACCATGAAAAAACTTTTACCTCGACTCAAGGATTTGATGAATTCAAGAATGAGGTTATGCTTACTAAGAAACTACAACAAGTAAATCTTACGAGAATTTTGGGATTTTGCATTAAAAGAGAGGATTAGATGCTAATTTATGAGTACATGCCAAACAAAAACTTGGATTATTACCTTTTTAGTATGTGTTCTATTATGTTTTGATTTACTTTCCCTAAGGAAATATTAAAAATGACTCTATTTTTGAAATTATACATTAATTTTTATGTTTTTTTTTTTTTTGGCATATTTAGACCTAGTTAGACAATATCTATTACATTGGACAAAACAGATGGAAATTATTGAGGGGATTACTCAAGGCCTTCGATATCTTCGAGAATACTTGAGACTCGATCGTTATCCATTATGACCTAAAGCCAACAACATATTATTGGATAATGAAATGAAGGCAATGATATCCGATTTTGTTATGGCTAAGATTTTCACAAAAGATGGACAAGAAGCAAACACAAGTATAATTATGGGGACATAGTGAGTACATTTTATATCAAAGTTATTTTGGGTTAATGGGTTTTGGGGTCAGGTTATGATGGGTGGTGTTTCAAGGCTACTATGTTGGATTTATGGGTTCATGGGTTTCCCGGCTACTCGTGGTGGCTTTGTGAGTGGTGGTCGCCGTAGAGGAGAGGGACAGCTTGGTTTGATAATGGACGATGTCAAGTTTGTGGGTTTCGAGACTAGTTGTAGTGGGTAATGAATAGTAGTGGGTTTTGGTTGGTGGTGGCCAGCGGCCATAGTTGGTAGAAGGGGTTCGTACTGTGGTTATGTGGGTGGTGGCTAGTGGTTCTTTTTTTTAGGAGAAGATGAAACAAACAAACAATCTTTCTTAATTGGGTTAGGGAGGGTTTAGGGTTTATTTTTTATTGGATTTTTTTTTTTTAGTTAAGAGGCCATATGGATCCTAAGTGAGACATTTAATCAAATTGTTATGCTCTATCACGTGTCATGTCGGCTTTGGTCGGAACTTAAGTCGAAAAAACTCACTTGTACTAGTATTGTTATCGGGATTTTAGTTAGTGACTTTTCTATCCAAATTTGTTTTTGAAAAAAGAGCTGAAATTTTTAAAAAGTGTAAAGTTTGTGATTTTCTCGATACATTAGACCTTTTGAATTTGAATTAATAACTATTTATTTTTTTTACCATGTGAATAAGAAATGAATACTATTTATTATTGTTTTTCTTTAGCTTTATCTTAGTTTCTACCTAGTACAAGGCAAACTTATATTAAGATTAGTTAGTGACTTTTCTATCCAAAATTAAAAAAAAAAAAGAGCTAAAATGCTTAAAAAGTGTAAAGTTTGTGATTTTTTGATACATTAAACCTTTTGAAATTCGAATTAATAACTATTTATTTTGTTATCATGTGAATAAGAAATGAATACTACTTATTATTGTTTTTCTTTAGTTTTATCTTAGTTTCTACCTAGTTCAAAGCAAACTTATATTAAGATTATTTGATTTTGAATTAAGTGGTATTTTGAAATTTTTTACAAACTTAATCGATAAAATATTATCTTAATATCTATATTTTTTTATACATATAGTAGTTGAAATATATTTTATATTGAAACAATATATTAAATATAGTAAGCACAATTTTTTTATAAAAATAAAGTAATAAATTCGATGAAACTTCAAATTTGATTTTCATATGTCAGTATCCAGATTTGAAATGATATTTTTAAAATCTGATCGAATTCCAATTTGTTTCATTAAACAAATTAGATCTGGATTTACTTTAATATAGTCTAAATTCAATTTGTTGACAGTCCTACTTTAAGAAAAAGAGGAAAGCTCCAGACTCTAGATATCACATTCGGATTATTAAATATAGAGAGGAGTTGTATTTGACGTAGAAGAGAGACTCACATGTGAGAGAGGGATTTATCAAGTTCTACATGTGAGAGAGAAATTTCATATCAATTAAGAGTAAAGAGTTTGAGGTGCTTATATATAAAACAGACTCATGATCTATTAATTTAGACTTTTAGATTAAATTTGTATTCATTCTTGTATATAAACCCTTTTGACGTACAGGCTCAACTGACTCTCGCAAATCACCCCAACAACAACGTAAAATGAATTTAATAGATAGTTTTGGTTTGTTTAGTATGTTTTTGTATTACTTTGTACTATATATATAGAGAGAGAGAGAGAGTTATTTCATTGTATCTCCGAAAAAAATATTGTCATTAAAAATTTGTACATCATTACAAGATTTGCGAACCAAAATGCATCCTTAATTATCCATCCATTTATGAAAGCCAGATGGAAGAACCAGTCAACAAAGGGCTAAAAATGCTGTGAATTTCACGTTATCCTCCTAGAGTGCTACCTACTTCGTGTAAATTATAAATTAGTTCCTCTAATTTTGAAAAACTAATTAATTAATCCTTTTTATTTCAAAATTAATTATTTAGTTTTCTTTTCATTTTATGTTCTTTTTCTCATTTGTTTTTTTTTAAAAAATAGAAAAATAAAAGAAATAGATTTATGAAAAAGAGTTTTTTAAAGTAATTTAACATTAAATTAAATGTAATCAATATTAGTCATATGACTAAATAAATAGTTTTTCTAAAGGACTACACTATTCATTTCTTGTAATTATAAGGACTAATTTATAATTTACTCCAATACTTGTGATGTGAAGGCCTTCCCTCCCTTCCAGTTTTCACTCGCTCTCCCAAAGTCTGAAGTCTAAAGTCTTAACTACCTCTCCATTCCCCTCTCCAACTACCATCCTCCTCTTTTTTTCTCACAACAATAATGTCGGATCTTTTCTCGTCGTTAAACTCCGACGCAGCAGAGCTAATCCTCTCCCACCTTCCGATCCCTTCCCTCCTCCGTGCCTCCTCCGTATGCAAAAAGTGGCGATCCCTTATCACTACCCCAAATTTCCCTTCCCTCTGCCACAACCACCACAAATACCACCCTTGGTTCTTCCTCCACGGCCTCCACAACACCTCCTCCAGAAACAACCAGTCTTTCGCCTTTGATCCTTCCTCCAACTCCTGGTTTATCCTACGTTCCTTTCCTTTCCCTTCTTCCGACTTCACTGGCTCTAGTGGTTTCCTCTTTTCCACTGCTCCTTCCTTTTCCTTCTCTCCTGTCCTCAAACCTCGTTGGAAATCCACCTCTCCTCTCCGCTTTTCGCGTATCAATCCCTTACTTGGTGTTTTTTGTGATCACCAGAGACCCTCAAATTATCTTTCCAAGCCTAAGTTTATTGTTGTTGGTGGTGTTAGATTCATTGGTGGATTAGTCGATATCGAGGACAGGTTGGCTGTTGAAATATATGACCCTTGTACGGATTCTTGGGACCTTGGGCCGCCTTTACCTGCAGATTTTCGATCTGGTTACTCCTCTCAAACATTGTCATCAGCCTTGTTTAAACAAAGGTTCTTTGTGTTTGGGATTTATACATTTTTTGTTTCGTCTTTCGATTTGGATAACCGTGTTTGGTCGCAGGTTCAGACATTAAGGCCACCTGGGGTCGTCTTTGCCTTCTTGATTGCTTGTCACGAAATGCTTGTTTTAGCCGGAGTGTGTAATGGGCCTCACCCACACGGGCCTTCCTTTAATTTGTGGAGGATTGACGAGGAAAGTATGGAGTTTAGTGAAATTGCAATTATGCCTCAGGATTTGCTTTATGGGTTGGTTGATAGTGAGGAGGAAGACAAGTTTGCTAGCTTGAAATGTGTGGGGATGGGATGTCTTATTTATGTGTTTAATGAGGAGTATCATAAAAAGTATCCTGCTTGTGTTTGCGAGATTAGCAGTGATTCTGGCAAGTGTAGCTGGAGGAGAGTGCCTCAATTGCCTTCACCTGTTAATAAGTTTCACAAAGTTATTAGCTACTGTTCCACAGTCTTGCCACATAATGTTTTTGGAGGCGAAGAGGAAGAAAAAATTGGGAGTATTTCTGATTGATTAACTTCGCTACTTGGTACGAATTATCATTAGACCATCTTTTGATTCAATAGTGTTTCTTTCCCTTTTGTTATGCTTAATGGTCTTGGCTCCTTTAAGATGCATCCTATATTGGTGTTTTAGTCTTTGTATAAACACTTTTATTGAATAGATGGAAGGGATCCAATTCAATTTAGAGGATATCTCTGGGGATTTAGATGGTCATTATTGACTTACCATTTCTGAAATTATTTATTCAGTCATATTTATTTTTTTATCATGGATAATATTATCTTCTGCTTCAGTTTATCTCATTTATGAATTGCCATACCTGGAGCAACGCCAAATGTATTTCAATTGAATTAAGTCAATGCCTTGTCCTTTTGGAGATAGCCAGGCCCGGTTATGGTTACAAATTTTAAGCTGGCTTGGTTCCCTTTAGACTAGATTTTGCAGCACTGTCAGTTTTAGAAGTGTATTAATTTTCAGAGCAATTTCCATTTCCTCTTGTATCTGGTGTTACCGATATTTGCTCTCTTGAAAAGCTGGTGCGATGACTAATGTTATATGAAGTTCTGATCATATCCTGTATTTTACAGGCTATTTGTTCATATATGCTTATTTCTGTGCACTAAAGGGTTGCACAATCATTGTTGTTTATCAATATAACTTGCTCATAGACTGGTGTTCGTATGATTCTGCATTTCTGCTAAATACTGTGTAGTTAATCGGTGGTGCCATTACCTCGGTTGAATTCTACCATATTTATATCCCAACCCAAGTGTTCTAGAACAATTTAATTTTTTGTCAAATGGAAATTGTAATGTGCAATTGATGCCCTTGATTGATTTGCTACTATTCTAAGTAGATTACCTTATATAGCACATGGCTAGTGACGTTCAAGTTTCAACTACTGCCTGAGATGTTCCCTTATAATTCCAATGCTGTAACTAATTTGTCTTTGCAACTTGTTCGACAGCAATGCTGACTCTGATAACAAGCATCTAAGAGTCAAATATTGCTGAACATTCAAAGGCTTGATACAGAAATACCTGATGATATTGTGTTGGGGTATAGCAAAAGAAATTGGACAGAGGCAGGTGTGTCCATGTTCATTTATTTTCTTTCTTTGATGAATCTATAGCGACCTCTTCTGCATTGGCTTCCTTGCAACACTAGTCATTATTGATGAAAAGTAAAAAATTAGCCATGGACCTCTTCCTCTAATGTCCAGTTATTTGATTTAGTAAATTGTTCACTGTATTAAATTCAGCTTGTAATCTTTTTTTCCAACTGGATTTAAAGAGATTACCTAAACACATAGTGGTCAAGGCCATTGATGTGAGTTTTACCATATCAATCGCATTTTAAGATTTGATTTTGTTACTCCTGCTCAGGTTTATGATTTTTTTCGGTGTTGGCTTCAAGTTCTATGTTATCAATTAAAGGCAAATGGCCCGTTGTTTTGTAGTAAGAGTGGATGTGAAACAGATATCTTATGCCATTTACTTCTAGTGCTACATTTTTGCAATCTGTTATATTCAATTGTGTTTTCCCTAATTTCCCAAGAAAATGGGACTGTCTGTTCGTGTCCAGGGAGTGGTAACTAACAAGTTGAAGATGCCAAATGACATTAGAAATTTGGTAAGCAAATTGGAATAGGTATTGTTACTTTATACACATCATTGTTTGTTATTTTTCTGTTCATAATCATAGATTGCAGCAGGAAAAGTTGGCATAATTCGGACTTGTCTTTTGCTGTGAATTTTTTGTTTAATGGAACATTCTGAAAACCCAGCTCCAGATGACTTTAAAGAGTATTTTAATGGAAAAAACAAAAAAAGTGAAGTTAATGGCTCTTAAACTCAGAAAATATGCTTCCTTGTGGTGGAAGAATCTTAAAAAATATAGAGCTGGTGAGTACAGAAGTAAGATCAAGTCTTGAAAAAAGATGAAAAATGAGCTCAAGAGGATTCTTGCTTAAACATTTTCGCTATTCAATAGTTAATAAAAATTTTATTAAAAATTGTTTATTTATTTATTTATTTTTACAATGTGAGTAATTATTAATTTTGGAGTCGTCATATAGTATTAAAGAAAATAAAAGACTTAAAAATGATACTTGGTTTAGAGATTTTAAAATAAGAAGTTGGTTATGTTTTTAGAAATATATCAATTACTCAAAATACTTTTTCGAGAAAAGAAAAGGTATGACATCGGGTTTAATTCTAAAAGTTATCTCCTAAAAATTTTTATTTTTATAAAATTATTTCTCAAGTCAAAATTTTAAATTTATTATTTCTTAAGCCAATTGAATTTTTTATTTTTATTTATGATATCATATTGAACTGATTATCGGATCTTGTCATCAAGAGTTTCGTCAATTTGACATCGATTTAACTTAAGTCGGAAAACATGTTAATTACTAAGGTGATAGGTTTTAATTCGGTGATAACATCAATCCCTATCGGATAGAAGTCTTGTTACAATTAACCTAGTAATTTTTTTATATATTTTTTGTTTTTTTTTATGTCTCTTTTTTCTATTATTATTGTGTCATCTTTTTTTTTTTTTTATCATTTTCCCTTTCATTTTTTATGTTTTTTTTTAAAAAAAATTGAAAGAGAATTATCATTGGTCCTTAAAAATTAGGAGATTCAACAATTTGCTTACATATTGATGACCTAATTTAACTATTGGCTATTCAAGTAATATTCAACATTAAAGTAAATTTGAAATTGATGATTAAACATTAAACTAAACAATTGAAATAAATAAATAAAAAGAGTTTGAAAAGTATAAACAAATTTAAATCTAGATTAGAAGGAAAAGTATTTCTCAAGTCAAAATTCTAAGTCTATTATTTCTTAAGCCAATTGATTTTTTTTTTTTTTTGTTTGTAATATCATATTGAATCGAACGTCGAATCTCGTCGTCGAGAGTTTCGTCAATTCAATATCAAATTTAGCTTATGTAAGAGAACATCTTAATTACTAAGGTAATAGGCTTTAATCTAGTGATAATATCACTCTTTATCAAATATGAGACTTGTTATAATTAATCTATTAATTTTTTATGTATGTTTTGTTCTTTTTTTCTATTATTCTTTTATTTTATTTTATTTTTGGTTTATAATTTTCCCTTTCATTTTTAAAAAAATTGATTAAGAATCGTCATCAGTCCTTAAAAGTTAACAGATCAACAATTTGCTCACGTATTAATGACTTAATTTATCTATTAGTTATTCAAGCAATATTCAACATTAAAGTAAATCTGAAATTAATAATTAAACATTAAACTAAATAATTGAAATAAATAAGTAAAAAGAGTTTGAAAATTATAAACAAATTTAAATCTAGACTAGAAGGAAAAGTACGAAGCATGCATACAAATTTCTGATTTAATGTTTCTCGGAAAATAGCTAAAACCATAATAATAATAGAAAAAAGAGAGGTTGTTGGGCCTTTGGGGCAGCTGGACCAGCCTGTTTAGGCCAGTCTAAACTCAACACAGCCCAAAACAGAGCCCCCTATTAAACCGAACCTAAGCATGTCAGTCTAGCCCAACCCAATATTTCCTATCTAGACCTAAACCTACCAGCCTAGCCACAAACTCAGCCCATCTACCCCAAGCCCCATTCCTCTTTCTTTCCCCTGGCCCATGTATTCCTTCTCTTCCTTCTTCTATATCACATCATATCAAGTTTATTTTTCCAAATTTCCTATCAAGACAAACTGAAGTTTAAACACTTGGTTTTGGTACTCTTCGTGTTCATTTGACAACAAAACCAGGACTGGGGAGGTGGATTATACTGTGAATCAACGATTACCTCTTGAATGACAGTGACGATTGTTGGTTTTGAAATATCAAAGAAGAACTGAAATTGATTGAAACAAATGAACAAAGATGGGTATGATGCTCACTTGATGAGTTGAAATATGCAGATGAATGAAGTTTATGCTTTGGGCCGAATAGGTGTGGCAGTGGGTTTTCTTTGTAAAGCTTCCATGTTTCTCCAATCCAGCTTCAATGCCTCTCCTCTACTTTTGCTTTTTTCTAGATTTCAAGACTATAGTGATTGAATCTTCAATTAATGAAGCTAAACTATTCTTACCCAAAACCCAGAAAACCCCTCCAGACCCAGATTCTTATCTGCAAAACCCAGAAAATACTTTCTCGAAACCCAAAAATTCAATCCTCCAAATATCCTCCTCTATCTCTCTATGTGTCTTCAAAGCCTGTAATGGGGCTCAATTTATAGCTGAAACCCAACCATCCTCCACCCTAGGATCGCTGCCAATCAATCAAGACCTTTGTGCGCTAAAATCAAAGAACATGCTCCTGGTGTTCTTGGGCTCTTATGCACAGAGCAAAAATTGAAAGAAAATATACAATGTGTGCAGGTTTGTGAATTGTAGCGCTAATTGTAGGTGGTGCAGTGGTTGAAGAGCGATTCTTGGCTGGTACAATTGCCACCTAGGAATCACAAAAACAGACATTGAAGGATTTGTCTTCAAGAAAGACGATTAACAATACTAGAAGTTGAATTTGGGTTACAGGGAGCAATAGGTAGGGGTGAGCAAACGGTTTGGTTAACCGAAAGCCGAATAAAATCGAACCGAATTATGAAATTTGGTTCGATTTTAAATATAAAATTATACAATATAAAATCGAACCGAAAAAATCGAAATTATTTCGGTTCGGTTCGGTTTTTAGAAAAAAAAATTCGATTTCGACCAAAAGTAAAAAATTTCCTAATTTCTAAATCCCTAACTTTTCAATCTTCATTCTTGTTGAAACCGAAACACGCAGATGAGAAGTAAATTTTGAGGACCGTTGGGGTAAGAAAAGAAAGTGACAGAGTGTAATTAATTGGGATACAATGTGTTTGAATGAGCAAATTTATTATACTTGGATTCGTTTTCATTAAAGCTTAGTTAAAATCTTCTAGGGCTTTGTGATTGTTTATAAAAAGGATTAATTGATAACAAGATGTTACTTCATTGGCTAATGGATTAAGT